AAAAAAAAGAGAAAAAGGAGGTGAAGAGAAAGAGAAATGAAGTGGAAAATGGTGGAACGTACGAATGGAGCAATTTCAACAAAACCGCAGCTATTATGGTCGTCGGTTTGCTGAAACGATGCAGCAGCGGCGGCAATATTTCCCGCGTTAACTTTGCCGTGGTGTTCGCGAAACGATAAAGGCTCCAGAGGGTACTTAGCGCGAATCAACAATTTTGTAGCGCATTTGTTTACGGGAACCGGGGCAAGCCTCTCCCTCGCAATATCAGGGATTCCGCGTGGACGTCAAATAAAAGCTTCGTCCATGAATTATTTTGCCGGCTAATTTCCCCGGTGGCGCATCGCCTGGACGCTGGCCTGAGGGACACGCCGCTGTTTGAACACGCCGCCGTCAAACTGACTTTATCAGAGTTAGGCTTGACAATCGCCGTGTAAAACTGTTAATCACGATTGAAGTTATAACGTACGCGTATACCGACTGCCCGCCAGCCGCCGAAATCCCGACGAATCGTGTCGTGACGCTGCTCTATTAGCGTGAAAAACAGTAGTCGTTTTCTTTGATCTTGAAAGTCCAACTATCGCGATCGCGTTTCCGAAAATTCTGAAAGATTTTGACTTCTTAGACTATGACTTGAACTTGGTCTATGCGACTGACATTGAAATGACAATGACTGCGTCACTGCGGCGGATTTCGAATGTAAATTATTCATTATTGATGTTAAACGATTAGTTTACATAAGCAGAATTTGCACAAGTAAAAGTTTTTAACTTCGTTGAAAGAAACAGCGACGCAAAGAGTTTTATCGTGATGTTGAAACAAATATAAATCTGTACTTTGCACACCTTAAGCGTAAGTGATGTTCGAAATAAGGTGAGCACATACGTAAACGTGGTCGTTTGACTGTGCGCAGTTAAGACTCTAACTATATAAGACTGATCGTGAGGGTCAACAAGAGAACATTTATTCTCCTAATTCGACTATCGACTCGTTCTCCGAGCGGAAAATTGTTGTTTGAGTAACCTTCGCGTTGTCGTTTAACAAAGATGAGATGCAATTTTTCCACTTTGCTAAGAAACGAGATAATAGAAAATAACGTTTCTCGAAACTTCTCTGTCTGGTTTCGTGGTAACAAAGCTCCAATATAATTCGAGTAATACACGGGAAAACATTTATGTATAACGCAGACCATTTCAAAATTATTATTTACAGAGTGTCTCGTGTAGCAGTTAATGTCGCTTTAGAAACTCAACGTGCCACATTTAAATTACAAAGTATCTGGCACAGAATAAAGAGGAAAGCTGCTCCATGCAAGTGTGTTAACGTCATTTCCATAAATACGTACAAACATCACATTTATTTGCCACGATGAATCGAAGGATTAAAGCACACACTGTTCACAAGAATTCAAATGGTCCTCCGTGGCATTCACGCTCTAATTACACTTGTTGTTGCGTCAACTCCATCGACAAGGAATTATATCGTGATAATGCTTACTCTAGATTCAGTCTAAATCAAGAACGAATGATGCAGTGTCTTATCGTTGGCCTGCAATAGTTGGCCTTGGCTAGCCATACCAAAGATCTTTGTCCATGATGAACCGTACCAGCAACGACAAGACCATGAGGAAAGCGATCACCGCCGCACCGACCAAAATGGCGCCATACTCTGGAAAGAAAACAGTCGTCGTGAATCGTAATTCAATAAGTAACGAAAAAATCGCAGTGATTGTTTCGATTCTTCTCGTAAAACGAGAATACGAAAACACGAAGAGATTTGCATTTTAAATCGTCACGTCGGAGCTTTGGAACTTTTATCTCCCTTATTCTCGTTTTCATTGCTGGCAAAAGTGACGCTTGTGTGGTCGGCGAGTTTAAAGAACAAATTTAATTTCACGTTGAAACGTGGGTGGTAATGACGTGCTTCTTTTTTCCTTTTTTTTTTTTTTGTTTTTCTTTTTTTACAAAAGCGAGAAGAGGAAAGGTAGAAACGTACGTGGAAAATATGTCGACGATGTCACTACAAAGGCAAATCGCGTGCCATTTTGCCGCGTTACATTCGACGATTATAATAAAAAATTGAGGGTAATGAATCTTCAGCGGGTCGAATTATGCACGCTGGAAACCGAGTACCATTAAAGATCTTGTTACCCGCGACGTGCGTGCTCCAAACGATGGAAAATTTCGCGCGCAAAGTACAACGTCACCTTCCCCTCTCTTTGCAATCAAACGAAATTTATTCCTCGTCGCGGCGGGACAATCGCAAGTGCGATGCCTTGAACGCGGAATTGCGAATCGCAAGACAAACGGGGCTGCAACTTTTTGTCCAATTAAAAATAATTATCGTACTCCCGAATCACACGTTCGCCAAGTGGCCGCACGACCACTTTGCGCGCGAAATTTCACACGTTATTTAACCCAAGCAAATGTCTAAGCGTTGGAAGCAAATATATACAAATACTCGTTTCGATGGCAACGACAAACAAAAACGTGTCGATTGTAAACGCATTTAAAAAATTAAAAAAAAAAAAGAAAAGAAACTGACTTTCACGCAAATTTCTACCAAAGATGGAAAACTGCAAGCAATTTGCCGCGAAACTGTAAAGTTACAAAAAAAAAAAAAAGAGGTCAATTTACAATATATATGCGATTAAATTCCCCAAAAGTTCCAAACTCAAAGAATGATCAGAAACAAAGTTTGCGATTGCTCGAACCACCAGTCCAGTCAATCACATTCATTGATATTCAAAGATTGACCCGATAATTCACGGTCGGTTTCGCTTGAGCAAAAAAAAAAAAAAAAAATAAATAAAAAATAAAATAACTGGAGCACACGATCGTGTGCTCGTAAAGGCGCTTACTCCGCCTCGTTCCGCGGGTGTCCTTGCTCGTGGAGATGTCGTTGGCGAAGCCGTCGCGCGCGAACAGAGACCTGCGAGAGCCGAACATGAACAGCCTGCAAGGCATTAAAGGCATCGAGATCGATTCGTGTTGACCGGGATCGGTTCTCTCGGGATGGGGACCGAAGCCCGGCGACGTCAGCCCCGATTGGAAGCAGGCCAGCGGAGTTGCGTCCGCCCTGTAGGATGCTGCATTGCACGCTGAATACCAATTGCCCGAAAAGTCGTGCGACCATCCGACGTGATTCGGCGGCACGATCGCGCTGTAAGGCGGTGGGTCGTCGTCGTCGTCGCCGTCGTTTCTCTCAACGTCGTCGTCGACCACGATCGCCGATTGCGTGACGGATCCGTTCGTCGAAGTCCTGCAAGTAGCGGTTGCGTCGACATTGGGCTCCGATGGTTCCTCCTGATGGAGCAGCTTCGACGAGGGCAACATGGTCCGATGGATTCTCGAGCAGTGTCTTTGCTGTAGATTGATTTTAAGTTGGAGCGTTATTCTACGCGCTCATCTTCTGAACAATGTGAATTGAATCATTGACGGCGATCTGAAAGCAAGTATTAAGATGATTTTTACACGTTGTCGCGTTCGTTGAATTTAGAGTATAATACGAATATTATACTATAGATATTTAATGGGTAATAATTAATAAATTCATTAGATAATAACTAAATATTGGATAATAATTTAATTATTGGATAATAATTAAAATCTATTAAATATTTAATAGAGAGCAATTAAACTCGGCACTGGTCGCCGAACTAGAAATAAAGATAACGTTAATTATGTTCAAACAAAGTTTGAAAATACTCCACTGATATTCTAAGTCGCATCATTTTTCAATCTAAATTATCACAGTGATATGTCACACTGCGTGCCAACAACTTGATCTGATTTTCGTGCCAATAACTTGACTTGATTTGCAATTATCGGCTATTAATGTCAGAACAATAAAGTTACGTTATCTTTGCGAGATAAAGTTTGCTTCCTATTAGTAGAAAGAAATTGTTATCATTACGGATCATCTAGAACTGCGACATCTGCATTTGTTAGAATTTTTATACAGATAAGTTTATCTCGGTAATTTGCAGCAGACAAGCCAATCACTACAATTATCAGGACGAAAGTTTTTCTTCGTCGAAGACACAGACCGAGTCTTCCCTTCTTCTGCTCTGATTCGATCGTGATTCACAAACGGGTTGTAATTATTGATCGGCCACCGGTACACCTTGAAACGAGCCGTTGTTCTCCTCGCGATTGCTTGAACGATCGAACGACCTTTGTTTCAAGGTGTGCGATTCGTTTCGACAAAGCGAAGAAGAAAATAAATTGCGTAATTCCGAATTACCTCGAGACGTCACGATCGCGAATGAAAAATTAGAGACCGGTATGTATGTCGGCTTGGAAGAAAAAAATTTCACGGTCAATCAGACGGACGAGTTCGAGACCTAACGAGACGTTTATATTCCAACGAGAGCTATTCGAAGATCTGCCGTGGTCGCACTTTCTTGCACTGGCTTGCGTAATTCGTCTCTATGAGTCGAATATGCGCGTTCCAATGTCAAGGACAAGTTGAATAAACCCGAAAGTGCGCGAGACACGAAACAGAAAAAGTAACTCGACTTTCCGCTTCGAAGGACGGTTCGTTCGATGAGTCAGTAGCGTCCTCAAATGCGTTTCGATTCTCTTTAACGTAAAGTGTCTGGAAGTGTGTTTGTTAATTTGGAACGTGACAAAAGTGAAAGCAACTTGATCGGTAATTTTGAAACAGAGAGCGCGCCGTTAATGAAACTCGTTATTAATTATTTCGACGACGCCGCGCGACAACGCAATTTGAAACTCGCTGAAAAATATGCATTCGTTCGAAAGCAATTGAAAATACGTTCGAAAGGCGTAGCCGGGTCACCAGCTTCCAAGATAACTAATTAAATAAAATTCTACGTACGATTGAAATTTCTCTAAATTCCCATTCCGAGCACGTAGACAATCCAAAACGAAAGTGCTCTCTCCGATTAATAGCAGAACGTACACCTCGCAAATATCAACAAGCCACCTGGAAGAAATACTTGCTTCGTTCAAAGTCTTGTTCGATAACGTGTGTACGTACTTGTATCACAGACAATTTCGAGCTGAGAGCAACTCGTTCCGATGCAAAAACCACACACACACAGGCGTCTCAGTGGCAAATTCACAATCCGGACGAAACAACGGCACGTGGCCAGTAACTTGTCAGCAGTTCTCGCCGCGCCTCGTTTGCACACAACAGTCGACGAAATCAACTGACGACAACGGGTGCTAACAATCTGCACATTTTGCAATGGTCGAGCGTCGGCGACGCGATCAACAGGTAGCAATCGCAAGACCGCGACACCGCCGACCGGAAACTGCCTTGTCGAACGTACACTCGAGGGTGCACTCGCTGGATAGACGAGGCGCGAAGCGTTCACTGAGTTCTGGCAAACTACGACAGGTCTTCGCAGCGTTCTTCAGAAACAAAGATTCGCGTGGATTCGTGGATCAAGGGTTTTGATAGTGTTCTTGGTTCCTCGCTTTGGATCCCGGATCGGTGACACTGCTGTGTAATTTCACGACATCTCGAAGAGTGGTTCGTTCACGTTGCAGGTTCGAAGACACGCGAGCGTCCAGCGACGATGATAACGGAGTGGCGGCTCTCCACCGACAGTCGAGCCGGGCCGATCGCGGACTCTGCCACGGCCAATCGAGCGTCCATCGTTCTACCCACCTCCAGGTTTCTGTCCTGCGGGAATGTCGAGGACGTTGCCAGCGATCAAGGTCACTACCTTTCGTGGCCAGTTGCCGGTCGACCGGATGCTCGAAGTACCTCCGAAGTTGACCGACTTGTGTTCGACCATTTTCTTGAACAGCTTGCAACAGATGTAGCAGTGGACTTAACAAAAGAGCTACGATGAGCTCACTTTTATCACAATTAGTCAGACATCGAAGTTTATGTATTCCGAGTGTTGAAACAATGATTCAAGTAGATGGGTATGAAGGTGAACTTAGTAGATGATGCGTTTTTCTTTCTTTATCATGTACCAATAACAATGAAAATTTGTGAATCATTTAATAATATAATACAATATTTGATATAACTTTATAGAAAAAGATCTTATAGTAATCCACTTGGTCTAAGGTTTAAGTTAGGTTAAGGGTTTAAAGAGCGAAACTTCTATTTTAATAGTAGCAAGTGCTTTTGAAGATTTTACA